GAAATTAATGGGTAGCAAGTTTAAAACTAATAAAAGAAAGTTTTTCTTCACACAGCGCATAGTCAACCTGTGGAACTCCTTGCCAGAGGAGGCTGTGAAGGCTAGGACTATAACAGAGTTTAAAGAGAAGCTAGATAATTTCATAGAGATTAGGTCCATAAAAGGCTATTAGCCAGGGGATAGAAATGGTGTCCCTGGCCTCTGTTTGTCAGAGGCTGGAGAGGGATGGCGGGAGACAATTCGCTTGATCATTGTCTTCGGTCCGCCCTCTCGGGGGCCCCTGGTGCTGGCCACTGTTGGCAGACAGGCTGCTGGGCTAGATGGACCTTTGGTCTGACCCAGTACGGCCGTTCTTATGTTTATATGGACCAGCCGCTAATGAGGGACTAAAACCCATTGTGTGGGATTATGCTTGCAGGCCATGCGGTTTATATTGGTGACAACTGGCTTACATTCGGTACAATAGCTCTCCATAGTGTAACAGTTAACACCTTTCTCTAACACATTTCTGATGACTAGTCTCTCAGGCCTGCTTTTCTCACCCCTCCCCTGACACACTCTTCCCCCTTCGCTGTAATCTCCACTTTCAGTCCGTTGCAAAAGGCCATGTGAAATTGTCCTTGACTCTTTTAATACACTTCTGGGTACAATTAGGTTTTCTTCTTCTTTTTGCAGTATTTTGAATGAACTATTTAAATCAGGGTGGGGAACTTTTTTTGGTTCGGGGGCCGCTGACCCACAGGAAAATCAGTCGGGGGCTGCACACAAGTGAGAAGCCAAAAAAAATCAAACCTCACTGACGTGGCCCCCAACTGAGAAGCAGAAAGACACTCCCCACATTCCCCTCACACAGCAGAGCCTAGGGGGGCCCAGCCTAGTAGATTTTCTGCGCTCCAGCCCTGCTGTTGGGCAGCAGGGGGGGCGAGAGAACCAGTGTGGGCTCCCCAAAGCTGTGGGGGGGGGGGTGCTGAGCCTTGGGCCCAGATCCAGGCAAACTGGGGGCTGCATCTGGATCCCAGGCCTGAGGTTCCCCGCCCCTGATTCAAATTTACCCCAAAGTTTATGTTGCTCAGCTTGGCTTCACTCGCCATCAGTTAGGATGTGCTGGTTGGCTTGGTTTTTGGTGCGACTTTGTGCCACACAGATATGGTACAGGTGGCATTTGGAGATGATATCTGTGCATGCTATTTATGAATATTAACTTGTTCAGAAGCACTTAAGATACTTGTATTGGAGTTACACAAGCACAGTGCCCTGAAATAACATGCACATTGCTTATTTTAACCCATACATAAGGTGTCCGACATTTTTAAAATGTCACAGTTTCCATTACATGAGCACCCACACAGTACCTCTTGTCACCACGTGACAGTTACCAAGGGGTCTGAAATCCCAGTATGGATGAGCCCAAAAAGAGAAGCAAGGCCAAAGTTTGGGTTTCAAATGTGGATCTAAGTGCTCCCTGTAGTAAGATGAAGGCCTAAAACGAAAGCCCATGTAGCACAAGCCCGGTTTGAGGCCTGAGGCCTAGCTAACAATGGTCAAGAACAGGGTTCTCTCTAAGGTGCGCGTCTGTGCGGGCATGCAACAAAAATTTCAGCCCCACCCACCTCTTCAGCAGAGCTGCGCAGCCATGGCCCCAGCTGCTCCTGGGGGAACAGCTGGGCCGACCACGCAGCAGCTGGGTGCTGGAGCATGGGCTGTGGTACTAAAAATAGCACTACGGCCCCAGCTGTGATCCCATCCCTAGCAGCTGCCATGCAGCCATGGCCCAAGCTGCTCCCACAGGTGGGGCTAGAGGGTGGGTGGGTGGCTGCCCCGTATTCTGGGACCACAGTGCAGCTGCTCCTGGGCCAGGGCAGTGGTGCTAAAAATAGCACCACGGCCTCTCTGGTGCAGCCATCACATAGCCCAGGTAGAGCGTGGGAGTCCTGGTCTGCAGCAGGTCTGCTGGGGAGAGTCTCTGGCAGCAGGAGGGTCACTGTGGCAGGGGTGATGCTCTGGCAGTTGGGGGCTGCTCTGGCGGCCCGGACCACATGGTGAGGGTGGGGCTGCCCCATGTGCCACAGCTGGAGCCGGGCCATGGTGAGTCTGTGCACCATGCGCACACGACGTCAGTATTGGTGCACAAGACAAAACTCACTCCGCTCACGGATGGAAAATCTTAGCGGGAACACTGGTCAAGACCTTGCTAATATCAAAACTAAGCTGTGAGCAAGAGGCAGGCCCCTGCTTGCAGAACTTGGCTCGAACAGGGCTGAGAGTGCAAAACACTAGCTGGTAATAGGCCCAGATGTAATTGGTCCTAAGGTACCGACTGTAAAACAGTAATTGGTGCTGCTCAGGAGTTGAAAGCACATTCCAAAAGGATGGTACCACCAGCTTGTTAAAAAAGACCTTGGTACCCACTCCCCCCAGATACAGACCCTGGTAAGGGTTTAAAATGACAGCATGGTGGATAGAAATGATGTAATCAAACCACGAGGTGCAGGGTGATGGGCGGTATCTAAGTAGCATCAGAGGGTGGCAACCTGACACGTCAGGAGTAACGTGTGACTTGTTTGTACCTGTATATAGAGTGCTGTCTTGGGCGGGGGACAGTCGTCCAGCAGTAGGGTCTCCCACTGGTTGCGCTGAGTCCATTGTTATGGGGTAGGAGACAAATCGCTTGATCATTGTCTTCGGTCCACCCTCTCTGGGGCCACTGTCGGCAGACAGGATACTGGGCTAGATGGACCTTTGGTCTGACCCAGTATGGCCGTTCTTATGTTCTTATCTGGGGTACACATGTGTAGTGATGTGGTAGAGTCTACTGACAACTATGACTGTACTTCACTTCACAATAAACCTGGCCGGGTGCCTTTGATGCTGATGTGATCTGTAATCTTTGGGGGCCCCCGCGGGTCTACTGGGTCGACTAATTGTGCAAGTCAACACGGCAAACATCGAGCACACACGCTGGCATCCTTCTGGTTATCTTCACCGATGGAGCCAGAGGCCTGCCAGACACCACGGCAGTAAATCCTGACCTCCTACATCAGTGACCCTACTACACTTACCTTTGCAATTAGGTCTTTATCGCACACAGGTTACATTGGGACTATGCCGCTTTACCAAGCTAACTGTAACTCCGTAACCCAGAAGATAGCATAGTAGGAAGTTTTCATGCTTGTTGTGAGAGTTCAAAGCACCCTAAACTCTTGTTTTGCATCCCATGGATTGTCAGAAAGTCTCTAATTCTAACCTCCTTGGCCCCGGCCATCTCTAGCATTCTAACATGGCTTTTTTTCCCTTCAGTTTGTCAAGAAACTTCGATAATATTCCAGGAATATATAGCATTGCTTTTTCCCTGTGAAGACTGCAGGATAATAGTGTAAATTTCTGATTTTATTTTTATTTTTAAGGCTTCTGCTTGGACATGTATGGACAGTCGACTGACCTGCTTTTCCACCTCCAAAGGGTGTGCAAAATAGCTGCCACTCTTAATTTCCACCATCGCCTTGCATCTGAATGCAAACCAGCTTGCCTTCTCTTTGCAGGAAAGTTCCTCTTAATTAGTTTTCCAGTGAGTCATGGCTAGATTCCCTTCCCTCCAGGAGTGCCCTGTAAGAAAGGCTGTGGGTGGACCGGCTGAGCTATAATCAGCATGGACAAAGTATTGATTAGCAGAGCCACGCGTGAACCTATGAAGAGAGTCACTGATTGATCGGCAAGGCTTGCTTTTTGGCAGGCAAGCACCTGCTCACCGGTTGCAGGAGGCTCTCTGGCAGCAGAATTTTCTGTCTCAGCAAACACTTGGCAGTAGCAAATTCCTCCTCCTGCGAGGAAATTCTGCTTGTCTACGCAACCGTGATTTCATTGAAAGAAAGGGGCAGCAGTCAGGCTGCTGTGCAGAGCAGTTGATAGGGATAGACCAACCTGCTCCAACAAATGGTAAATCTTCTGGGTCACGGAGTTACAGTTAGCTTGGTAAAGTTGTCCTCTAGAGAGGAAGCAAACAATGCGCTGGTGAACAAGCTGCTGGCAGCTCACATTTTAATGCATGAGTTTTTCCAGGTCTCGTGCTGGTTCACTTTTTCCTTTTAGGTTTCAGTTTTGAAAGTGGCGGTTGTTACAGTCCCAATGCTAACGCTGTGCTGTAGCTTCTGCCGCAAGGACAGAACTCTGGTGCAGGCTGGTAAGATCCCTCGCAGCTTTGTTTTGGTGGATTTGCTAGCCTTATCTGTCTGCAGTGCTAATAGAAGTTCCTCGAAGTTCTAAGGCAGCGTCTGGACTTTTTGAAATCCAGCGTGCCCCTCCACTTGGAAAGCTAGCAATCGTTTTCTGGCAGCCTTAACGATTTGATTGCCTCCACGTTTTAACTTCAGCCTGGAAAACCACACCCCTCTGCAGTGCCATTAGGCAGAAAGTATCAGAGGGGTAGCCCTGTTAGTCTGGATCTGCAAAAGTGACAAGGAGTCCTGTAGCACCTTATAGACTAACAGATGTATTGGAGCATAAGCTTTTGTGGGCAAAGACCCACTTTGTCAGATGCATGTAGTGGAAATTTCCAGAGGCAGGTATAAATATGCAATATCCTGATAGAATTTACCTCGTTTTCTCTAGTCTGATTCTTGCCTGAATAGTTATACCTGCCTCTGGAAATTTCCACTACATGCATCTGACAAAGTGGGTCTTTGCCCACAAAAGCTTATGCTCCAATACATCTGTTAGTCTATAAGGTGCTTCAGGAATCCTTGTCGATTAGGCAGAAAGCGTCCTGGAGTGTGTGTATTGTTTGCCACCGTCTTTGGAAGGTGGAAAGCATGCGACATGTTGTTGCAGCCATGAGTAGACTCAAACTTCGTGATTAGCCTTGCAAACATGCGGGCGGTGAGGAGATGTCTTAGCCGTGCCCAGACATCAGGATCATAACGCCATTGTGTTGGGTCCTGCGCCTCATGTAGGAAAAGTCCTTGTGTTCTAACAGTATCGTTTGTTTATTTGTTTTGTTCCCCCAGTGTCTAGGCGGCAGAGAGTCAGTGAAACGCTGTGTGGGGCAAGGAAAGCGGATGAGGGAGCCCTGTGTGTGAACAAAGATGGATTGGCTGTGACAGTGTGCCTTAGATGGGGAGAGCATTATGATGAAAACTTCCTGCCGAGCTGGCCTCCACAGGGAAGCACTGAATTCCACATCTTCTACATTCCATCAAGTCAAATGGTACAAACAGACCCGGTTAACACATGTCGGCCTGCTCCTTCATTCCCTGCTTTGTGTGCCAGTCAAACTCTTCTAAAGCCCTTGTTTTGGAGGGCCTTTGCCTTTAAGCAAAATATTCACAGTACTTCTGTGGAGTGCAAATTGTTCCTTAATATTTGTTGTTAGATAATGACAGCTACCCAGTCATTATTGCTGCTTCGGTACCCTCGGAGAAGTCTTTGGAATTTCTTTTTTTTTTTTTTGGTAGCAACAGCTGTAATTTCATGGGGATACAGCATCAGAATAAAAATATAATTGGAGACTGGGTTGCTGGAGTAGGCTTTGAAATATGTAGGGAGCTTGAAAAAGAAACCTCGGTGATCAGTAGGGTGGTCCATTTGCCTAGAAAGTGAATAATTAGATTAGTACAAACTTAAATTTTGCTTGAAGTGGACACGTGTTTCTCTGACTAAATTCAATTGTGTCCTCCTTTTTCAAATATTGTTGCTTACAAGGCAGTTCTGAGCCTCCGCGTGGCTACTTTTCCAAGTGCTTTTGTGACTGAGAACAACTTTTGTATCGCTGCATTTGAGACATGCAAATTACAAACTACAACGCTGGATTCAAGCTAATAATATCAACTTCTTTCTCCTTTTTAAAGCTGTTGAAATCTTGTAATCTTCCTGACTCGGTGGGGAAGTAGCCAGCCTTCAGCCTCTCAGACCTGTGTGCATGTGAAATATAAATTCTGAGTAATAACTTTCTTCTCTGGGTGGAGGGAGCGGATGCTCCCTCAATCTGTTGTTGACCCACAGCCAAATCTTGCACTCTAACTTGGGCAAAACTCCCACTGACTCCTGTGGGACTAAGTTGTCTCTGTGATCGGTAGGAATGTGTTATAGCCAGCTCTGCTTGCTCCCACCCCATGTCCATCTCTGTACACTGGAGGAAGGGGAGTGGGTGGTATAAAACCAGACTTACTGATGTTATGCCATCCAGAGATTGCCCTATGCAAGGAGGGTTCTTTGGAATGCCCTGTAGAGCAGCTTTTAGGCTGCTTTGCTCTGCCTGACCAGTGCAGAGGGAACAGAATCTGGGCCAAATGATTTTGGGGGCGTCCAAAGATGTGACAAATGGGTTGATTAGAGCCACAGTGTACTTTACTAATAACTAGCTCTGACCCTGCAGTCTGCATCTCCAAGTGGTTTACAAAAGTGCTCAGGGCCATTACTCCCATTTTGCAGATGGGGAAGCTGAGGCACAGGAAGACAAAGTGCCATGTCCAAGGTCATGTTTGGCCGTTGGTCCCAGTAATTTGTTTGACTTTGGCCTTTTATAGTCTCCAACAGCTTGGCCATGGGAATTGCACACGAGAGCTAGTCAAAGACATTTTTTTCCCCTTATGGAAAATTTCAGTGTTTGAGCAGAAATGTGAATATTGAAATGTTTGGCATGGAGCTACTATGGGACCTTATGGGAGTTGCAGTTTGGGTGCCTCATGGTCTTGTTCTTCCCCAGAGACCAGATGAAATCGCCTATCATGTACTATGGCCGTCTCTCTTGAATCATAAGTGTTCCTGGTCATGGTGCATTATGGGGGATGTAGCTGGATTGGGGAGCCTGGCCCGCTTCCATTCATCTGAAGACATGATCCTTCACCCAGACCCTCTCCCTTACCCAAATCTCCCTTCTGCACCCAACCTCCCCCCTTAATATAATGGAAGTGTGTGGCTCTCGACCACTTTCCAAATTCTTGGAGTGCCTCCCTCCGTCAAAAATTATTGCCCAATCTTTATGTAGGTGGTATCAAAAGCTTTCATGGGCACAACCCACTTCTCAGGATACCATCTACATATTTTATTAGTCTCTAAGGTGCTGTAAGACAATTTGTTGTTTTTTAAAGTTTTTCCAGTTACAGACTAACTTGGCTACCCCTCTGAAACCACAAAAAATGTGCATGACAAGCTGAGCGGCCCTGAACAAGGGAGTTTGTCAGACCAGGGGAGGTCAGCCTGGTTGCCTCTAAGGTGTGCGCCTGCACGGGCGCTCACCAAGAATTTGCCACCTGTGCATCTTTTCTTAGAAGAGCCATGCAAAGCCATGGCCGGTGACTGCCCTGCTCCAGGAGCTGCTGGGCAGCCACCATGTGGCCCTGGCCCTTCCCTGGGGTTGGAGCGGCCGCCAGGGTGGGCCGCATGGAGGCTGCTGGAGCTGGAGCCTATGCGCAGTACTAAAAATTGCATCATGGCCCTGGCTCCAGTCCTGACACACAGGGCAGTCTCCCGCCATGTGGCCGCCTCCGCGTGTTGGGGCTGGAGCTGAGGTCACAGTATTATTTTTAGTACCGTGGTCCGAGCCCTGGTCCCAGCTGCTCCTAGGGTGGGACCACATGGCGGGCAACCGCCCCACATGTTGGGACTGGAGCTGGGGCTGCCCGAAGTGCTAAAAATAGCATTGCAGGCAGCCCAAGTTCTAGTCCAGGCATACGGTCCTGCCTCTGGAGCACCTAGGATCGGGGCTATGTGGCGACTTCTGGGGCTGGGACCATGGTACTAAAAATAGCACTACTGCCCCGGCTCCAGCCCCCACAAATGGGACAGCTGCCTGCCACGTCGGAGGCAGAAGGAAAGGGGCAGAGGCAGAACTAAGGTGAAGGTGGGGTGAGGAGACAAAGGGGCTTGTGCTGAGGAGAGAGGAAGGGGGCCAGAGCATGAGAAGAAAAGGGAAGGCACCAAGGGGCAGAGCAGAGGAGAGACAAATGCCAGGTGTCCAAGAGGAGAGAATGAAGGAAAGGGCAGGAAGGGGGAGAGACAAATGCCAGGGGTCCAAGAGGAGAGAATGAGGGAAAGGGCAGGAAGGGGGAGGGAAGGTGTCCGTGAGGGTGGGAGAGGGGAGGGGACAGGGTGATGCTGGGAGAGAAAAGGGGAGGGAAAATGGGGCAAGAGGGAGGAAGAGTGGGTGCCAGGAGAAGAGGGGTTGAAAGGAGGGTGGGCATGAGGAAGGCAGGGGATGGAGCAAGTCATGTTTGAGGGCACAAAGGGGTGTGAGGAGAACTGGGGCAGAGGGAGGTGAAGGGTTGGGCACCAGGAAGAAAGAGGGCAAGGGGGGCAGTTATTGGGAGGGAAGAAGGAGGCACCAGGAGAGTGCAAGGGATTGTGGGGGGTGAAGCTGAAGGGCAGACACAGGGAGGGGAGAGACAGGCACCAGAGGGCAGAGGAGAGAGGCAGGGCAGGTGGGAAGAGGAAGACGTTAGGCTAGGGGATGGGGAGGGGGGCTAGAGGAGGGGTGGGCACAGTGGGGAAGAGAAAGGCGGGTGGCAGTGCCCAGGAAAGCTCATGGTACCATGTAAAAGTTTTGTTAGTCTATACAGCGCCACCAGACCAGTTTTTGTTTTACCTTAGAGATGTGTAAAGTGCCCCTTTATCTCAGCGGCTTCAAGACAGAATGGTCATTTAAATAACAGTGTAGCTAATTATCCTACTGCTGATCCTTTTCCGGAGGCTTCCAGGTAACGTTCTTGCCCACAGTGCCAAGTGGCCCAATTGTCCGTTAACCAGGTGCCAAAGGTTCCAGCTCCCGCCCAGATAAGGTGCATGTCGTTGTCTGGACGAAACAATCCGAAACACCTTGAAAACGTATAGCAGAGCAAAACCAATTGACTTTTAGAATAAATAGCACAAGGGTAAGACCCGGATCACATGACTCACTCTTGTATTTCTCTCCATATGTAGAAAAACCTTTTCCTGTGGGAGGACGGTCTTCCTGTCACTCTGCGTCCACAGGAACAAGCCCCACCCACTGCCAGCCTGGATGCTGCCGCCCGGGCCTGGCTGGCCCTGACCTCCCCTTCCCTGCAGCCAGGGGAGAGCCCTACCTGCCACGGCTGGCTTGGCAACGGCCCGCCTCTCGTGGCTGGAGGGGGGCTGAGAGACCATGGCCTGCGCCGTCCAGCAGCCAGAGGGTGGCCCAGAGGCCGGGGCTGTGGTGGGGAAGGGGTGGTGGCCGAGAGGCCGGGGCTAGCTGCAGCCAGGGAGGCTGGGCGAGTGGCAGGGGCTACTGTGGCCCCGGTTCTCCCATTCCCAGCGGCCTCAGGGAGAGTCGGGCCTGCCTATCCCCAGAGACGGGGGTTGGCGAGTGTAGCGAGCAGGGAGAACCGCCTCCTAGTAACTCATTAAAAACCCCCTCAGTTTAAAAAATGTCCCTGCAGCTGCCACAGTAGCGCTTGTGCAGCGCTGGAATGCTGTGACACATCGCAAGTTGGGGTGTGCAGCTCTGTTCATATTGTGAGCGAGTTCTGATCAGCAGAATCTTGTTTCTCTTCTAGATTCTAGCAGGAGAATATGTGCTGGTACTCTGGAGTGGGGAGAATAGCTGGTTCATCTAAAAACCGGCTCTGTCTTTGCTAACTTCACATTGCAGTGGATGAGAACTATTTTTTTTTTTTTTTTGCTCCCAAGAAACTTTGGTGCTGTAAAGTCTGTTGGTAGAATTTGTTTGAAATGCAACTTGCTGTCTCCCCAGTGACTGAAAACTTTGACACTCCGATGGCACCACCAGGCTGTGGGAATGAGTACTCTCTAAAGTTATTAGGAGTTTCAGTAATTGTAAACGAGACCTGGTGTAATTGAACTTTACATTCACATGTGCCAGTTATTCTTGCAATAATGCTTAACTATATTATTACTTCCTCATGTGTGATACAATGTGTTCAGCCTTCAGTGGTATTCTCCACCAAGCCTAACAGTAACCGAAATACCGGAGGTAATGACACAACTTAAAAACGCAGAATGCATAATAGATAATTCTGTGATTTTACTCTTTCTCTTGCCATAAAGCAGAAATAGCCTTGAGTAGCTGAACCAGCTCTACTGGCAAGGCATGTTGGAGTAATTAGTTTAGTCCTATTTATTAATACTGTGCCTTACTTTCAGCAGCAGTCTCCCTAATGAAGGATGGTTTAGTGATTGCCCAGCTTAGTGCATGTCAGAAAATAAGTGAGAAAGGAGCGAGGAGGCTTTGTTCAATCTTACAAAGTTCCTGGAACAATAGAAATTTCATCTGAGAATTTTACTTTCTACTTCCAAGTGACTGGACTCCAAAAGGCAAAACTGTCTGTAACTGCACATGTCTCTCTCTCTCCCCATGGGACCCGTGGTGCCCCAGAAATTGCTTGATTTCTGGAGTGAAAGGCAGCACTTCCGGGATCCAGCATGAAGAGGCGCGAGCGCCACCTACTGTATCACAGGCTCCATTTTCTGCACGCAACAGCCTGGATGTGTCTTGGTCGTCTCTCTTCCAAGACGGTTAGTGGCCTCACCCTGACTCGCTTCTGAGTGTGGCCTGAGAGGACGCAGCTGATCGGAAAGTTGGCCAAGGGGGAGATTGGCCTTGGCACTGCTTTAGTCCAGAGGTCTGGTGGTATAAGGCCGACCAATTGTGCTTTTAGATCTTAATGTCGGGTACTTCTGGAACCAAGCTGGGAGGAGAACAAAGCAGCATGGTCCCAATGAGAAAGAAGTGGTCTAGGCCCAATAAAGGAGTCTAGATGAACACCTTGAATTGTGCCCAGTAGGCCCGGGGCAGCCACATTCTACACACACTGGAGCTTCCGAGTGGCCGTGGGGTAGTGAAGCCCAGTGCACTAATCCAGCCTGCTGGTGACAAGCACATATGTAACTGTGGCACTGTCTGGGCTCCAGGTCTGGGCTCCAGGCTGGGAGCAAGGGGATGGATTGGAAAGGTGTTTGGCCATTTCTGCTACTTGACGGACTCCTAGCAGCGCAGGATCCAAAGGGACCTCTAGATTGTGCATCTTCCAGGAGGGTGGACTAGCCCCCCCCCATCCTGTCAGTACGCGATGTGCCTGCACAGTACACAGCCTAGCTCTCCGATCTGGTGGGCACCACACACCCTTCCCTCTGCTGCCACGACGGTCAAGGTGGTGAGCAAACCTGGAAAGGAAAGGCAAGGCCGCCTTCTCACCTTGGCAGTGATTCAGTCGGGGGTGGTTGTCCCCAAACACTAGCGCACTTCCCGCTGGCGATGGGAGTGAAGGAGTTGTAGCTTCTAGCAGACCCTCGCGGCTGAACGTGACGCTTGTTGCTCAGCCTCTCCTCAGCAGCAGGGGGTCACTACCCTTGACTGAGCTGAAGGATCAACTCAGGATGACCCTGGGGCACCATACAGCGCCTCTGTTGTGATGTGAGAGAGGGAAGGAGCCCAGCTAGCCTGTTGGTCCCGGGTTGGATTCAATAGGCTGATGGTTAGAAAAACCTCTTGTGTGTTGTTTGGGCGTGTTTGGTCACAGCACAACCACCCTGGAGTTCCATGATGCCTTTAAGAGACTTTGCACAGCAGAAAGGCAAAGGTAGAGATGCTGGTTTTGGAGTGTCTGGCTCTCACGTGCTGCAAGTGATCGCAATGAATTTGATGACAATTCATTCCTTATTAAATGGGAAGAAATTGTCCTGGTTTGAAAACAGGCTTTACAATGTAAAAATTTAAAGCTATTACCATGGAAACATACCCTACCGCTGTTCCTGTCATGGGCTTGTGTGACTGCCCAAGGAGACCAGAGACTGAAGGCAATTGGTCCTGCGTCTCCCCCATGACAGCATGGGAGCTCCTCCCAGGTTTTCCTGCAGTGCATTGTATAAATGCCCACATTGAGAGGAGGGCCAGAGTGTAAGCCAAGAGTGCAATCCAGATGCTGTTGCTGTAATAGAAATGCCACTTCCATTCCGGTTTACCTCTAATTTATAGCGGCTATAGTCTCGTTCAGCTTCATAGTGGCTCCGTTCACAACACTCCAAAATACAGAAGCAAAGAAGGTGACTCCTAATTGGATATCTAGGGTTTTTTTTCCCCTGCAGTGTGCTCAGTTTTACCCTGCACCGAACTTTGCTGTCTCCCTAAGCAAGTGCATTTCATTTCTTGTACTACGGAAGCGAGTTGACTATATCAGGCAATAGCAGATCACATGGCAGGTAGGGTAGGGATCAACGACTCGATGTCAGGATGGCAGTCGGTTTCAAGAGGAGTGCCCCAAGGTTCGGTTCTAGGGCTGGTTTTGTTCAATATCTTTATTAATGACCTGGATGAGGGGATGGATTGCACCCTCAGCAAGTTTGCGGATGACACTAAGCTGGGGGGAGAGGTAGATACACTTGAGGGCAGAGATAGGGTCCAGAGTGACTTAGACAAATTGGAAGATTGGGCCACAAGAAATCTGATGAGGTTCAACAAGGACAAGTGCAGAGTCCTGCACTTGGGATGGAAGAATCCCAAGCATTGTTATAGGCTGGGAACTAACCAGCTAAGTAGTAGTTCTGCAGAAAAGGACCTGGGGGTTACAGTGGATGAGAAGCTGGATATGAGTCAACAGGGCGCCCTTGTAGCCAAGAAGGCTAATGGCATATTAGGTTGCTTTAGGAGGAGCATTGCCCGCAGATCCAGAGATGTCATTATTCCCCTTTATTCAGCTCTTGTGAGGCCACATCTGGAGTATTGTGTCCAGTTCTGGGCCCCCCACTACAAAAAGGATGTGGACGCATTGGAGAGGGTCTAGCGGCAGAGGGCAACCAAAATGATTAGGGGGCTGGAGCACATGACCTACGAGGAGAGGCTGAGGGAGTTGGGTCTGTTTAGTCTGCAGAAGCGAAGAGTGAGGGGGGATTTAATGGCAGCCTTCAACTTCCTGAAGGGAGGTTCCAAAGAGGATAGAGAGAGGCTGTTCTCAGTAGTGACGGATGGTAGAACAAGGAGCAATGGTCTCAAGTTGTGGTGGGAGAGGTCCAGGTTGGATATTAGGAAAAACTATTTCACTAGGAGGGTGGTGAAGCACTGGAATGGGTTACCTAGGGAAGTAGTGGAGTCTCCATCCCTAGAGGTCAAGTCTCGGCTTGACAAAGCCCTGGCCGGGTTGATTTAGTTGGGATTGGTCCTGCCTAGAGCAGGGGGCTGGACTTGATGACCTTCTGAGGTCTCTTCCAGCTCTACAGTTCTATGATTCTAGGTGCGATCTTTGTAATCGCTGCCCTGCCCGCTTTCATCATTTTTATAAAACCCCTTTTCAATAGATAATCACTAACTGGTATCAAGAGGGGGAGAGGGGCTTACGGCTTGGTTAAAACAGGAGTGGATCAAGGGTCTGAACTAAGTGAAAGCTGTAAGAACACTGGGTGGAACCTAAAATGCTTGGGTGGGGAGGGGAGATGTTTATATCCAGAATCTTGTTTCCATGACATTTTAGAGAAATTCTAATGGGAACCCTTCCGCTGTTCATGATGCTTATCGGCACAGCAAGAGGGTGCTGGCAGGATTCTCACAGGGTGAACTGCAGTGACATCGCAGGTCGGGGACCATACAATTGTTGCTACCCCTGCAGCCATTCTGGTGCCTTTCCTGGCCCTGGCCCATATGCTGGGCCTTATTCTCATGACCCTGACATTTAGGGGGATGTGAGCCCCGTGCAGTGCGTACAATAATCATTCCTTTGCTATTGTTTTCTAGGGCTTCTGGCATGCACTTAAAGCCATACCTCAAGTTACAGAAGAAAGAGCCATCTCCTGACACAAGTCAAGATTCCCCGAGAAGCTTGCATAGGAATCCGCAAAGGTCAGCGCAGGCGGGAAAGTCTCCAGAAAACTGCACCAAACTGAGCGTTTTACCGACGTCCCCGGTTGGGACTCCATCTCGACAGCCTTTGGGAATTATTTACCCTAATACTATGTGCAATATGAGTGGGAAAGCTCTCGCGGAAGGCCCCAGCGTCGAGAAGAAGCAACATGCCCCTTCTGCCACAATCCACCAGGGGGACGAGGGGGAAGGGCCGTTGGATATCTGGGCTGTCGTGAAACCCGGGAACACCAAGGAAAAGATTGCCTTCTTCGCAGCCCAGCAGTGCAACAACCGGATGGGCTCAATAAAACTTAAAAGCACCTGGGATATAGATGGAAGAGTTGCCAAGCGCAGGAAGAAATCTATGGATCTTATAAAAGCAAAGATTCAGTTGGAAAGGATGAGAGAGGCCAACAGGAGGTTCGCCCACCCTGAGCCTTTTGCGTGCGGCATTGAGCACTGTTCTGTCCATTATGTTCATGACAGTGTTGAAGGGGTATTCCCAGGGCGCTCCTTATCTGTAATCGAGATGGTCGCGTTCCTGGAACACAGAGCCAGCGGTTTGCTGGCCGACTGCACCAAAAGCTGCACAAACGCTTCCACAACAAGACTGAGCGGGCAAGGAAAAGGCGCCCCTCCCGCCTCGGAGCCCCTCTCTGCTGCCGGGGCCTGCGAGGCGCACGTGGAAAAGGGGAGCTGTGAGAGCGGGGAGCAGCAGACCGAGCCTGTGCGGGTGCTGGACATGGTCGCAAAGCTCGAGTCGGAGTGCCTGCGGCGCCAGAGCGAGCGCGACGCAGGGAGCCTGTCCCGGAACAACAGCTTCCGGCGGAACATCGGGCGGATGTTACTGGCCAATGGCACGCAGGCCGAGAGCGACGCGGGGAAGGCCTCTTCCAAAGTCCTTGGCCGGGAGGTAAGTTTGGAAGATCCTGCTACCGTGGATGAGGACGGAGAGAGAACAAAAGGGGGCCCTTCGGCTGCAGCTGAATTATGGGGAGGTGCTGGCTCTGCTCGGCAGTCCTTGGCGGCAGCAGCTGTGGATAGCCACAGGGTCAACGTCGGTGTCAAGCTTGGTCAAGAAACCTCGGTGCGACCCAGCAGCAGAGGTGATTCTGAAATGATCGGGGCACCTCTGGGGTGTGTCTCTTCTGCACGGCCAGTTGGTGGGCCGTCTGCCGCCGCGCAGAGCCAGGGTGCGAGCGTTGGTTGCTTGGCTAGCGAGACAGGGCCTAGTCCTCATCTGAGTTCACATCCGGCGAGGAGAGAGTCTTTATGCATCAGTATATCGGTCACCAAGACAGAGAAAGGGTGTAGGAAAGAGCAGCTTTCCAATTTAAGTGTGGGGGAAGATTCGCTTCCAGGGAGGCTGTTCTTTCCGCGGCCTGGTCACCACGCCAAGCGGGAGCACATAGGGGTAGGGGTCAGTACTAAAGAAAAGCCAAGAGTAGTGGGCCAAAGGGAGGATGCCGCCGAGGTTGTCAATGCGTGTGAAAGAAACAGTGTTTCCGTAGAGCCGTTTGCCCTGCCGGTGTCGCCCACGGAAAGCGCTTTGCAGGTACTTGACGCTGCCTGCTTGAAGAGGCAGGTGTCTCATGACTTTCTGGAGACCCGATTTAAAATTCAGCAGCTTTTGGAGCCTCAGCAGTACATGGCCTTCCTGCCCCACCACATCATGGTGAAGATCTTCAGATTGCTCCCCACGCGGAGCCTGGTCGCTCTTAAATGTACTTGTTGTTACTTCAAATTTATCATTGAGTACTACAACATCCGGCCAGCTGATTCCCGCTGGGTCCGGGATCCGCGCTACAAAGAAGACCCTTGCAAGCAGTGCAAGAAGAAGTACGTGAAAGGGGACGTATCACTGTGCCGGTGGCACCCCAAGCCCTACTGTCAAGCTTTACCATACGGCCCAGGGTATTGGATGTGCTGTCACAAGTCTCAGAAAGGCATCCCTGGATGCAAACTAGGTCTTCATGACAATCATTGGGTCCCTGCTTGCCACAGCTTTAACCGCACTCTTCACAAGAAAACCAGAGGCGGCGTGGACGCGGAAGAGGAATATTAGCGCACATACACTTTGCTGTGAGATGATACTCTTGGGGGGGGAGGAGATTTTCATGCTCTGTGCTGTTTACAGTGTACATAATTGTGTTTTCACAGGGCTATGAAACTGCACATACTTAAACACAAGAGCCTTTACCTTTTAGATTACAGGTAGCTTTTAGCCCATCGTTGTAAATAACACTATTAAAAACGAATTGTACATATAGAGTCTACAGCTGGCTGAACAACTTAATCACTACAATGCAGCTATGATAGTGTTGCGGCTTCAGTCATGTGTGTTTTTAAGTGTCTTGTTTCAAAATCTGTATATCCTGTATAATATATGAATGTTTCTGAGAAGAAACTCTAAATAGGTAAAGGTTAACTGTTTAAAGGAACTTCAAATGATTTAACTGGACAACCTTAAAATTAGACTAGAGCAGATTGTTATAGTAGTGTAGCAGTGAACAAAAGAGAAATATTATTGTATAGGCAGAGTATAAAAAGGTTCTTGTCTACCTTACCCATGTTGTCTGGTTTTTTTTTTTTTTTTTTTTTACTTTAATAAAATGCGCATTCTCGATTTGCCTTATCTGACTTACTCGTCTTGTAAAATTTGCCCTGGAATCAAGTGATATAAAAGTTAGTTTGTACAGTGCTGGAGGGAGTTCAGAGGGGGAGAAAAAAGTATGTGTGGTTTGAAATTAAAACTGAATTTCAAATGTTGTGCTAATGAATGAATTCCTCATCCCACCCGTCAGAAGAAACCTTGGCTTGTGCGCCTTTCCTGTGATATTTCACTGCACCCTAAATGGGAATGAAGGTGGAGGCGACTGTTGAATTCTGAAAGGTACTTTTAGGCCATGCCCACAGCAAACTTAACTTGGGTGGAACTATGCTAACATGGGGCTGGATAGTTCTATGACATTAGATTCAGGTCCCCCTTGACCATGGTTTGGTTCCTGCCAGAAGCCAGGCTAACACTATTGTGCACAGGGTGTTGGGTTGATCACACTTATAGACTCATAGACTTTAAGGTCAGAAGGGACCATTATGATCATCTAGTCTGACCCCCTGCACAGTGCAGGCCACAGAATCTCACCCACCCCCTCCTGAAATAATCCTCTCACCCGTATCTCAGATATTGAAGCCTTCAAATAGTTTGAAGGTCCCAAGATGCAGAGAATCCTCCAGCTATGATCTGTACCCCATGCTACAGAGGAAGGCGAAAAACCTCCAGGGCCTCTGCCAATCTACCCTGGAGGAAAATTCCTTCCCGACCCCAAATATGGCGATCACTTGTTACAGTGAATGCTGTTGTGTCCAGTGGCAAGGGAGCTGACTTAACTGGACTCCATGACTGCTCCTCGCAGGTCTTGTGAGTCCGAAGATTAACGTGCATGGACCCTACTCTTGTTTGAACAGCCCTGATTGCTCACCCTTGTACTTCAGAAAGTGTGACCTACGAACATTTTAATCTGTGTCGTTCACTGCCTTTGAAGGGGGATTTTAGCCAAAAGGTGCACTAGACCCTGGGTGGATTATAATGATCTAACTATAAGGCAGAGACAATAGTTTCCATAAGAATCCTGTGTTTTTGTCGCTATCTTACAAAACAGATTCCCCGTTCCATGTGTTGTCGCCGTGCCCAGGGCACTGACAAAGAGTTGCAGCTGGAGCATCCACCCTGTGAGAGAACGTGTGATAGGAGCTGTTTTCCAGAGAGGCAGCCTGAGAAAGTTGTGCCAAGCAGAGTGCAGGCTTGGGAGGTTAATGAACATTTAAAATGTTACCTGGTTAAACACGACTCAGCTGGCTGGGCAGAGCCACTGGTTAATGGGTAAGCAAGCTGGCAAGGCTCGTGCTTACTGGGTAACAAGTTAACCCTTTGCATCTTTAATGCAGGCTGAATGACGTAGCACTTTATTTGTAATGCAGTCTCAGCCAATGAAAACAAAAGGAGGTTCTGGCTTCTTTTTCAAAGCTCCATGTGCTACAGCGGGAAGCGGTTAAGATGAGGGGCAAGATAGAGGACCAGTTAGCTGCCACAGAACAAAGCATATGTACAGGGGCTTCTTTCATACACCCGAACAAGGCAGAGGAGGGGACAAACCAGGTTCACCATGAACCACCGGCTCCAATTCAGCTGGGTCAGAATGCAGCTGGTGGGAGAGAAGCCACGACACCTGAATAGGCCTGGTGGGACAGCAGAAGGCGGCGAGCCGGCAAAGTAACAAGCTGTTTATATCCAAAACCTCCCTGGCCACTTGGTGCTGTACTGGGCGGGTGATCTTCGCTGAATTTCGGCCTAGCAGCAGAAGTGGGTGGAGTCATCAGGCTGCTGATGTGGCCAGTCTGAAAACAGCCATTAGTTCTGTCTAAGACAGGTGCCTGGCATATGTGTGTGTTCGGGCGCCTCTCTGTGGCAGACACCCGCAGTGGCTGACTTGTGCGCTTAACGGCCTTTTGGGCTCCGGCTGCAGCCTCTGCTCTGGGATCCTCCTGCCTCACAAGATCCAAGAACCTGGCTCCAGCCTGAGCCCGAACGTCGACCTGGATGACGCCCCTTAGCACAAGCCGTGCGAGCCGGAGCCAGTCGCAGGTGTCTCACTGCAGTGCAGACATACCCTGGCCCTGTCATTTATCTTTATGGAAAGGGAGGGTGCTGGCCCCCGGCTGAAGGGGATGAGCAATTTAAAAAGGGGCAGAGCAGCCTCTGTGCACCCGTGTTTCTGCCCCACAGGGCTCGCACCTGCTAGCCACCCCAGCACGGTGTTTCAAAAAGTAAAGCATGTTACAATGGACTTATCCATGGCCACGAACCCACCAGTTCTGTGTCCTGCAGTTAGAAACCAGGGGGTTAAGGAGGTGCCTTAGGTTCCGGTCCACCTGGGATACTTCCCCTTGCCTGGGCCGCGTCAAGGCCATGGCATCTAGGGCCTCTCAGGGAACGGAAGAGGGTCCCTTGGTCATTTGTGCTGCGACGTCACTGGCAGGCAGGGGCCTCGCTCCTTCTGCTGGAGGAAGGGGGTGCTGAGGTAATATCTCCTCCCCCCTCCGCCCCCAGCAGAAGCTAATGTAGACAAGCTTTGGGCTGGGAAAGGAAGTCTCAGAGCAGCTATGGGAAATACAAGGTGGAACAGTTTGTTTAGCATAAGGGCACATTGTTTAGCATCAGGCACTGGATCTGTTCCCCCTGGCATTTAGCTGTGGTGTGGGGGATTCCTTCCCCAGCCCTGAAAAAGGCACAGAGCTTCTGCCACTAAGGCTATGTCTACACTAAAGGGTTTTTGCACAAAACCAGCTGTTTTTGCACAAAAACCCATGGAGCATCCACACCTCGAGCACATTTTTGCACCAAAAAAAGAAAAAAATTCAGTAAATTGACAGGACCGAGGGCTTTTGCTGATAGGGTTATTCCTCTCCCCACGAGGAATAACTCCTTTTTGTGCAAGAGTTTGTTAGAGAAAAGAAACTGCCCCCCCCCCCCCGTAGTCTCTATCTTGTACGTAACCCGGGGACTGCCTGTAGTGGGCTTCAGGACTCCTTGAGAGAAACCGGCCGCACCCTTCCTGCATACCATTGCCTTTAGAAAAAGGAAAGGTGTGAAAAGGGGAAAATAGCCTCAGACTCTCCCACCCGTCACCTTGGCGTGAGAACTGCGGGGCTTACCTGGTCGCATGAAACCTGCACAGTTTCGGCCCAACCCCTGGGACACAGACCCCCCACTTGGTGACCATTGGGCCATATATGGTAATATACAAGTGCGGGAAAGCGATGTGCAGATTTAGGGATAAATACCCATGGCACAGTTTGCTCGAGGAGGTCTTCGCAACACACGTACCACCGTGCGTGTGCCTTCTCGTATACTTCAAAGCGCTGCCGGCCTGATCAACCGACCAGCCACCTCCCCCGACTCTCGGGCGTAACCAAGGCCTTCGCAACCGAACCGATATCTGTGAAATGTTCCGTGTGCTGTGTAAGTTGGTATGTATGATTTGATTTTTTCCTGTTGTATAAGCTTAGTGTTGTAATTGTTTTTGGGTAGTACATAATAGTTTGTAGTTATCACTGTTATTTAATTACTGTAGCTGGATATTTTAAGATTAGAGACTATTCCCCTTGCCATTCCCATCCCTATATCTCTGACATGTTTTACTAGAAGCCATAGAATAAATATAATAAATACTGTAAATTCATTATTAACACGTCTATTAAAAATCTTAGAATAAATACTATAAATTCACCTCTGTCATAAATAAATATTTTTTATTTGATAAAACTGTCCACCTGGCTCTGTCCTTCCCCCCTGGGGTATTCATTATCGGACCCGTGATTCTCGCGACAGAGTTCTTGTGCAAAAAGCTGTGTGTGGACGCTTAACAGGGGTTTCTTGCACAAAAAGCACAGGTGCTCTCATGGCCATTCTGTGAACTTTCTTGCGCAAGTGCGTCCGTGCAGTGTGGACACTCTCTTGCGCAAAAGCAGTGTTTTTGCGATGTGCTTTTGAGGTGTGAACATGCTTTTGTGCAACAAGTTTTTATGGAAGAGCTCTTCCACAAAAAGCTCCTTGCGCAAAAACCCTGCAGTATAGACAAAGCCTAACAGAAGTAGGTCCAATAAAAGATAGCACCTCACCTACTTCGCTAACAGCCAGGGCCTGACACAGCTACATTGTATATTAAGCAGTTGCAAGGATTTCTCTCCTGTTTCTCCCGTTTGGAAAGAGAAGTAAAATAACCATAGAAAGAACTGGGAACGTCTACACTGCACGCTTATTTCGAAATAAGGTATTCTGAAAACAATGCTCCAAAATAGCTTATTTCGAAATAGCACGTCTACATTGCAGGGAAGCCTCACAGTTAGTCCAAAGGCAGGTTTCCCTAATACTACCTTGCTACCTTGATTTAGAGCCCCAGGAAGCACTAGAGAGCAATTACTTTGAGAGGCTCTAAGGAGAAGCTATTTTGAAATAGCCGCAGTGGAACGTTCACACTACTGCTACTCCAAAAGAGCTATTTTGGAAGAGGCGTTATTCCTCGTGGAATGAGGTGTACAGAAGTCGGAATAAGCCATCCGATATTTGAAATAACACTGCTGTGTAGCACCCTGCATGGTGTGTCTTTTTGAGCTGCAGTTAAAGAGGGAGATTGTCCCCTTCCCACCTCAGGAGTAAGTGATGTTAACATGCCGGCACGTCACAGCAGCCAGGAAGAAATAGCAGCAGAGGGCAATATTTTGTAACTAGGGAAGGGGTTAGTGCAAGCCCCTTTGGCTGTGGGTGTGATCCTGGTAGGACAAAGGCAGCAGGAGACAGGCTGAAGTCTCCTTAATTCTTTTCCTCCTTCAGAAATCTACACATCACAGGGGAGAGAAGGCAACAGAGCTGAGCTAGTATAAGACAAGGGCCAGCCCACCAACCTAACCCTGCTTCAAGGGATGGGGTGTATATATCACCACTGGTGTATTCTTTTCCAATAGGCTGCCGGGGTGAGTAGATGATCCTGCACATACAGGAACAGACTCTTTATCAGGTAGGCTCATGCTCCCAGGAGTAGTCGATTCTCAGTCTAAACAAAGGGAGACAAGAACTGAGCCTTGGCCCTTTGCTAAATAAATGGCAAATTCTAATGCAGCGTCTGATTCATTTTTCCTTGCCCCTGTTTATGCAGAGACCTGGCTTAGGCCTATATCGGTATGTTGCTCACAGGTGTGAAAAATTCACTCCCCTGAGCTGTGTCGTTCTACCCCCAAACCCCCACCTGCAGACATGTCCCTAGGAGAGTCTCTGCTGGCTTTGTAGCTACCACCTCTTGGGGAGACATGAACTACACCGGCTGAGTACTTCTCCTGGCAGCACAGGAGCATCTTTACTGAGGAAAATTCAGGTCCTGTTAGCCAGGAGGGATTCAGTCTGGGCATGGAGCAGGTGTGTTCAAAACCTGGACTGGACTCAGCCGTGGCTGTAAGGAAATTACTGGAACTGATTTGTTTCAATGATGTCTAACGAGAACCGAGGCTCCAGCCCCCAAGCCCTCAACGTGTCCCTTCCTCCCCCTTGTCTCCAGCCCCCCGCTCCTCCCTGACAGACCCAGTACACAAACCTGCTGCACTGTATGAAATGGTACCACTAGCTGCTGGCCCCTGCCGCTCATGCAGCCACACCCCCATTTGCTGGTGCAGCAAGATTAAACTACTGCTTCTCTCTGGCAAGGCTCTTCCCTATCTGCCCTTCCCTGACTGTCCTCTCTCACCCCCCACCCCGGTCACACATTCATTCACATGGGTGCCTGAGAATGGCACCATCACACTGAACTCATCTCTAAGGCCCCTGCCCACTAAGCCTTTCTTGCAAACCAATTCCTGCCCCGTTACCTTTTGCGAGGGTTCCCCTTCGAGTTCCCAGCCCGTCCTGCTCAGTGGCTGGCTGGAAAGCACCTGGGCAGCACAGGCACAACTACAAAATGCTGGAAGCTGTAACTCCGTAGTCCTTACTGATGAGCAACCCCCCAGCTGTTGCGTGGGAGGCAGGTGCTTCTTGCAGCCAGGAATTCCTGGTTCTGTTTGGTCTCCGCTACCCCTCCCAAGGCTTCTATGGTGAGTTACCGAGCACTAGCCCAGGCTGGCACTGCCTTATTCCTCAGCCAGGAATCTGATACAGAAGGAAGAGAAGCGTCCCTGCCACTCAATCATTTCTTGTGGTTGCAGAACATGGAAGCTGAAGCTTAACATCACCTTTGAGTCAAGTCAATTTCATATTCGTAATCCACCAATCTGAATGATGACCTCTCTGAAGCAGGGGCCACCGCGCTGCTGATGCTGAGCCTAGCATAATGCAGTCCCTATCGCAGTTGAGCTTTACATGCTAGCAGCAACACGACATTTTCAAAGCTTCTTTCACAACGAGTGTCTGCTTAGTCACCTTGGAAGTATTCTCATGGATGAAGAGGAAATAAACACTCATGAACAGCATTTGGCACTGGGGCATGTTTACCCAACAAGTAATATAGCAGATCAAAGCCAGACCTACCTTAGAAACTCGTCAGTAATGTCAACAAGGGAAGTGTCTTTTGTTGGCAGCATTTTGATACCAGAAAGAACCCCAGCGTGGACAGAATTAAACTGGCAAAAAAGTGCTTCTGGCCATATAGCACATTCTGCTGGTCAGTAGGCTTATACCAGTTAAAGCACTTTTTTGCCAATATAACTGCATCTACATTAGGAGGGGTTTGCACGCGCAGCTTGAACCTGGTCCGGCAACATCCGTGGTTCAGCATGATTTGAGTTGTCTATTTGATCATGGGGGTGGCCAAGGTTCCCACGGGCCCGTAAAGTTTTATAGCCACCAATCCTGGCTTTCAGTGTTTTATGCTGCTGTTTAGCTCTAATTGATCCCTGCATGTCCTCTTTACAGCCCAGTAAACAGTGGCTGCGTTGGTAATGCCACTAAGCTAAGCATGGTTTTCAGGGTTTATCTACTTATTTCCTCTTGCCAATACAGTAACATTGCATAACACCACTTACACTTTGTTCTGAAGAGAGCTGATAAGCCTGGGCTAGGCCTAGGCTTATATAGGATGTATCAGAACAGTCAGACATTATTGAGCAACGTTGCTACCATTGTTTTGTTTATTCTCGGTGAAACTCAGAGAGACCCACTCACCATAATATTGACCACCCGTGGTTCAGCAAATTCTCTGGTTCAGCAATGGCTAAGCCTCAAGAGTGTCAAACCTTGTGTACTGTACCAGCTGACCACTTCTAAAGTAGACCTGACCCAAATGCATAAGGCACATTTAAATTCTATAAACACAGATGCTCTTCCCCTCCTCCCACCCCAGCCCACCCCCTTATTTATGAACAAAATACACCGGATAACAGATTTTTAAAAAATACACTGTTGGAAAATCACTGGTAAAGATTTATTGCAGTGATACAATAAGACGTAGAGAAAACGTTTGTGTTTAGTTACACTAGTTTGGAAGTTGCAGAGGAAGGCCCAACTTTTCAAAAGTGACTAGTGGGTTTTAGGTGCCCAATTAGAGACAGGAGCCTGGGTCTCAGCAGATGGGTTCTCAGTCAGTCCTGTCCCTAAAACCTTGGGTTGGACACCTAAGACCATTAGTTCCTTTAAAAAAAATCATAGCCTAAATGGAAATTCCTGCATTCATGCTACTGCAAACCATGTTGTAAACTCTCCATTGGCTGTCTTAAAATAGAATATGCATAATTGAAGGGTGATTTTCCCCCTGACAATCCCTGGAAGAAACAATCTATGAACTAATCCAATCAAGTGCACTCCAAGTTTTGGACACTTACCATTCCCACCCCCCCCAATAACTACACATGTGCAAACCCCCCCCCTTTTTTTAAGGAAAAAAATCTGTATTCTGTTACAAAAGCATTTCTTGAAAAGAGATTCTATCCCATCTCACTTGAACAATCTTTTGGTGCCCTGGCGCATGGCAAGTGAAATGACAAGTTTGCAAATAAATTAATGTTAAATGCAGAAAACATGATGTTTTTGACAGTCTATGGCTTAAAAATCTGTATGTGAAGTACCTAATTAATTTGTGTGTAAAAACTGGATAAAGGTTCTTGCATTTACCTGAAAAGAATGTTCACGAGTAGCACATAAAACTGTGGTAGAAATGTGTACGCAAAAGTATATTTACATGGCAGAGTCCAGTGCAAAATTAATGGAGAACTGAGTAGTATCAGAGGTGACACTAATAGCCCAAAATACAGTACCCGTGAGCACGTTGGTTGCTCACACACACCAAGGGGTCTGATTAGTTGCAATCAGTAAAGTGCCTTTAAACGGAAACGGAATCCTAGCTTCCCTCCTCCTGGGACA